GGAGAATAATTAAATAATTAATTAAGTAATTAAGTAATTAAGTAATATTTCTCTCTTAATACGGAATTGCGAGACAAATGTCAGCAGCTCGACAGGCTCTTCATATTCGATGTATAGAGCAGGCATGAAAATGACCGGTAAAGAAAAACACTGAAAACCCCCGAGGCGCGGGGGGGGGGGACCTCGATAGAGGGAAACCCCGAGGCGGCGGCTGGGGAGGGGGAGGTACCCCCTCTCACGGTAGGGAGATTTTTTTATTTTGGGGGTCAGAATCAGAGCGCCGGAAGTGGGGGCATAGGGGGGCGGCCGCGCCCTCAATCCAACAAGTGGGGGGGGGAAACCGAAGAAACCCCCCCCACAAAGAGAGTGTGAGAAAGAGAAAAATGATAATGTACTGAGCTAAGGACTTGTTAGACCGTAATTCGTTAACGTCAAAAACTAATTTAAGTAACACTCCATTTTAATTTTCGGCTGCGCCTTGCGTGATTGGGACGCTCGGTCGCGACGACCATGCAGCAGCTCACGCGCAACACGTCACTCACACGCACCACCCGCCACACACGTCACTCACACATGCGCTCGACAAACCGCACACGCATTCACGGCACTACACGTCATAAACACACACGCGCTGCAACCCGCACACACGTCGCACACACGTCCGCACACGGACGCGCGCTCAACGCACAACACCGCGCCCTCCGACGCACTACAACGTCGGCACACAAGCGGTCCACGCCACACGACGTCGCACACCAGCGCGGTCCACACACCAGCATGTCGCACACACGCGCTCACCTCACCGCACACGCACAATCATGTCGGGCAGCACACGCGTCTTCACGCACGCCAACGTCGCACACACGCGCTCACGCACACACGTCGCACACGCGCTCAGCACACATGCGCTCACGCGCACACGCGCTCACGCACACACGTCACGCACACGCGCTCACGCACACACGTCGCACACGCACACATGTCGCACACACGCGCTCCCGCACACACGTCGCACACGCACACATGTTGCACACACGCGCTCACGTACACACGTCGCACACGCACACATGTCGCACACACGCGCTCACGCGCACACGTCTACGGCTACGGGCACCAGTCTAGCTTGCTGCCAGCCGCAGTAGACGATAAACCGTGCGCCTGCATGTACATATGCCCGTGGTAGATTACGAATGCTGCACGTGAACACGGAAAAAAACGGAAAACGCGGAAACAATTCTGGGATCGGGGAAAAGCGGAAATCCGCGGAAACGCGGAAAATTTCCATGCCTGATAGAGTGATGGGGAGGGAATCCATCATGAGCACGAAATGGGAGGTGACAGGTAAAATAACTGTTTAACTTTTAAACTTTTCTTATTTTTTTAATGAATGTTGAAGTGGCAGAAGTAGTGGCTGAAGTTGCAGAAGTACATATATTTGTAAATTACATAGGCTTCCGTGAAGTCTTTGCGGCAATTTCTGCTATTATTACAGTTATTATTATTTATCCTTGATTTTCGCATGCATTCTCCGAATGAGTTTAGAGTAATGAGAAGTACGGTCTTGATGAGTTATGGCGCAAATCATTACCGCTCGACGTACGGTCTTGATGAGTTATGGCGCAAATCATTACCGCTCGACGTACGGTCTTGATGAGTTATGGCGCAAATCATTACCGCTCGAAGTACGGTCTTGATGAGTTATGGCGCAAATCATTACCGCTCGACGTACGGTCTTGATGAGTTATGGCGCAAATCATTACCGCTCGACGTACGGTCTTGATATTCGGGACGTAGGGGGGAATCGCAAGAACTGATGTTGAATTTTGGGCTGAAGGGTAAAAGGTGAAGATGTGTAAATGGAGGGGGAATATTTCCCCCTTAAATTAAGGAGAATAATTAATTAAGTAATTAAGAAATATTTCCCCCTTAATACGGAATTGCGAGACAAATGTCAGCAGCTCGACAGGCTCTTCATATTAATGAATGAGTTAATGAATGAGCTTCAGCCTAGTAAGTTCAGTACAGTTATAGCTTCAGTATTCAGTACTGAGTTCATTGAGTAGCTTTCAGTACTTTCAGCTTCAGTAATAATATTAATAAGCTTCAGCCTAGCCGCTCGGCTGGCATAGCTTCAGCCTAGCCAAGACTGCAGCCTGTACGCTTGTGTAGGTGAATAGATTGAGTTCTCACCTGTTCACTATTTTGACTGTGTTCACCTGTAGCACAAATAGTTCAGTTGTTGACAATAATCTTAAGACACTGGCACGTTGACAGCCATCTATTGACGATTAGTGCATCACATGATAAATCGTTGAAATTGCATTGGATAACGTCGCAGGTACTATGAAACAATAGTGCCCGCCTGAGCGGGCACTGTTGCTTGCGCGACGCAGTGTGCTTAATTGCATATGAAACAATAGTGCCCGCCTGAGCGGGCACTATTGCAGTGCGCTTGCGATACTCGGACAATACTTTTATTCCAATGTTTATTCCAGTTGCAATGTGTTACGTTTGTGTTTTAATACAAATTGAAATTGTTCGTTTAAGAAACTTTGTCTTATTCACTTCATATTTGCCGAGTAGATTGCAAAGTCATGTGATGCACTAAAAACATTAATGCTTGTTGTTGGGGGCACTATGCTGTCATAGTGTTGCTTTGGGAAAGACCCCCCCCCCATACCTTCCCAAAGCATCACTATGAGATCATAGTGCCCCCAACAACAGGCATTAATATATAAATAGTAAAGTATTAATTTGTTTTGAATTTTTAACTTTTTAACTTTTTTGCTATTTTTTTAATGAATGTAGTAAAAAAAAAAATTTAATTTTACATTTTTAAGTGGCAGAAGTACATACTAAAGAGGTAGGAAAAAAAGGGGAAAATAAGTTCCCAGCTGGGAATCGAACCCGGAATCCCGGTGTAGGAGACGGATGTTGTAGTGATTAGGCCACTGCGCCGTTAAGGTTTTTTTTTAATCAATTTTCAACTTTTTTAAATTTTTGTTTCAGCCAGAACCACCTTCCAGACGTGCTGATTCTGAAAATATCTTTAGTTTTCCTCTAGGCTGCGGAGTTCTCTAGTTATGCGAGTACGAACTAATTCGACTGAACAACTTTATATATATAGAAGCATGCGAAGGAAAAAGAAAGGCACCATTTTATTAAAGCTTTGGGTATACGTTTCCTGAGCAATTGCATTCTATATTCCATAGCCAGCATAAAACCGCACATACATATTCTGACATATTTATTAGTCCGTATTTCTCGACACATCACACAGCAAGTAACAGATTCATTTTTAATGTGAATTCCTATGTATTATTTATCTTATACTATTTTAAAAGCACTATATCCAGTGAAGTTTAGCGAGACATTACTTAATATTTTAATTAGTTTTACCACTACAGAAGATTATAAACACAGATATGAGAATGAGAAAAATGATATAAGAACAGATATAAGAATGATCATAAACTTTCAGAGTAAGATCAATGTTAAACTAAAAAGATCATTACATTGCAATTTGCATACACATGGCCAGCATATATATATATACCCATGAAGTATGTCATCGTAAAGGTAGGGGCACACGAGCGATTTTTATCGCCCGATCGCCGCGAATTTTCTAAAACTCGCGTCGACAAAATTTCGCCAGAGGAAAGGCCGTGTGCCGCTTCACGTCGCGCCGATTTTAATCGCCCGTACGAATCGCCCGTATCCAAAATGGTTAGATATTTTCGGGCGATTATTTACGCCGGCGATTATTTACTGCGCAAATTCGCTCGTGGTGCCCGTGTCCGGCGTATCTTGTCGCGCCGATCGATTTTTCTAAACCAATCGGACGTGTTGTTGATATGTTCATGTGATGCATCATGTGATCATGTGATTCCGTCGAGTGGCGTACGCGTACGCTCTCAAATTCGCTACGTGTGCCCCTTCGTGATCGGGCGATTAAATTCGCTACGTGTGCCCCTTCGTGATCGGGCGATTAAATTCGCTACGTGTGCCCCTTCGTGATCGGGCGATTAAATTCGCTGGCGATTTTAATCGCCGCGATCGGGCGGTAAAATACGCTCGTGTGCCCCTAGCATAAGATTGCTAAACGTTTGGTCCGCATAATGTCTATTCTATTAAGTAAAATCTGTCAATTTAATTGGATATACACTATATACACTGCACATATTACAATTATTCTACAGAAGGCCACAGCAGTCAAGATGAAAACAGAAATTAGGCGTGGGCACATAAACTAAATGTGATTTTGATTTCAACCAGGAAATATAAGAGTAAGTCAACAAAGGCAATAGTGAGATGGGCATAATCGGAACAATCACGGAGAATCCATTATTATACAAGGCATTTGGTTGACCACACCTAGAATACGCCCATATAGAGTCCATACAAGGTTAAACAGATGTCTGAGCCCCAATCATGAAAATGCTTGTGCTTCAACTAGGTACACATTGACAAAATTAACACCTATTCCACAACTATCCACTAGAAATTGAAAAAGTTGAGAGCACCAGAGTAGGTCCTACGACTTGACGGCCAGTTTGAATAAAACCTTGAGGTTTCCTGAGTCAATACAACTTATTGAAGAAATTTATCCTAGATAATTTTAAATTAACTGTCACATGCATAATTTTATAAGGGCTATATTAACATTACTGCATTGTTACTGTTATTTCTGCTTACTATACATCATTCTCACTGTCTTACTATTATATCTGAACAGAGATCCAGATGAGACGGGATACTAAAGAAGCGTTGCCGAAAGGATGTATTAATCCGAAGCGCTAAGCGCAGATCTTCAGCGCAGTTCCGCGGCAAGGCGCACGCGACTGCAGGAACGTCCTACGACAGTATGCAGCGCTGGCAGCTATGGATGGTTTTACATAACTTTTATGGACTAATTTTTAATTTGGACAAAATAATTGGAATTACTAACATATCTTAGAAAACTTGCTCGTGTTCTGGAATACATTTTGTATGAATAGATATAAGTATAACAAGTATATATTAGAGCTTTTATCATCCATGATACACAATCTTTTATACACAGTAAAAATAACATTTTCGTGCATTTAAAACTCAATTAAATGGCTCATGATTAAAATTCAATACAATCTAGTTCACACACCATGAGAACTAATAAGTCGTCCATTTATAATCATAAAATAATGTGCTAATTTTTTTATTATAAAATTTAATATATTTTAAAAGCATGCAGTCTAGCGTTATGTTGGTCCTAGAGTATCTGGGAAGCATTACTGCTGCACCACTATAGTTCGCTGGGTCGCCTCGTTATCTTCGGTTATGCACTGCAAAACAAAATCATTAATATTCCATCAGAAATCTATTGAAATATGGGAATGAATTTCATAGAATTCTATGGAATTAACACCAAAATCTATTGAGAATAGAGACTACATAAAAAGAAAGGTTTCATATTTACAATATGTAAATTGTAATGTTAAATAAATGCATAGACATAATGTCTGTCTGAACCCCTACAGTTCAGAATGTTGGCCTTCTCACTGCATGTAAATGTACAATGAATGCCTTCTCACCAGACAGATCCAAACAATGATCCACGGGAAAAAGAAGATGCTAATGCAGCAGTGGAGACAGTGGTTGACCCCTTGTTTATGCCTGACATGCCAATAAATAAAAATAAATTTCTTAATAAATAAATTCACTAAACTGTTACTATTGATTTCTAGAAACATTAATCCGAGGCAGGGCTACCCCTGGCGTTCGCCACCTTCGCAAAAAGCGATGAATAAATAGCAGTGGCAATTTTACTACACTAACCTAAGAGGCGAATACAAATGGCAAATGGTTTAACTGCTCACACAATTACATTTGAATAACAAAATCGTCAAATTTTAGTGTTGTGTCATAAAATGTTTTCGTACACCTCTTTTCCCATACCCATCACCTATTTATGCATTGCTTAGCACATACGATAAAGTGAACTTAGGGTCCCTATATACAGAGAGTTGCGCCAACTCAGGATTTGACTCCATGTTGTTTCCAAATGTATCCACACCGCTGCCGCTTAAGTACAGCGCTGTATGCATACGCTGTACAATGGTCCGTAGTAATTAATTAGACTAATCGTGGGCTTCTAAAAAACGTCAAAATTACAAGAGATATAGCAAGACATGTCGTCATGTGTATCTATGATCTTCTAAGAAATGTAATCTCAAATCGTTCGCGCCAGTATGCATAGTTTAATTGGGGGGGGCGTACACTCTCTTACCCGCCCCATCAGCCCCGTGCCCGTCATACTAACCTGTGCGATACCCACGCGCGTAGATACTTTGCTAATTAATTAAATCACTCGCAGCTTGACAATAACAACTCAAGAATCACAGAGATCATAGATAACACAGTGTGCTTTATATGTAATCTAGATTTCAGAAATGTAACCTCAAATCGTCGCACGGCCTGATATGATAGCTTAATTGTACAACATTCTTAGTGTACAAACACAGCAGCCAGTCATTTTGGAAGAATAATGACAACTGTAATTCACACGACTACTAATGCGTTCCACTCTCGCATCGCATGCAGCAGCTGTAACATGTGTTTTGAAGTTCTAAGAAACGTAGATACACATTAGACAACATGCCTTAGCTATAATCTCTGTAAATTTTGAGTTTAATTGAAGCAGCGATTAGTCTAATTAATTACTACGCGACGCAATTGTACAGCGTATCATACCAGCCGCCTAGCTGTACTTGAGCGGCAGCGGTGCTGGATCAATTTGGAAACAACATGGCCGTCCACACGCGATCACTTGACCGGATTTTTTCTCCGACTCGTCATCGGCGGCAACCTCTCTGTCATGCAGGGACGGCCTACAGCTGAACTGCTGGCTCAAAAGTTTTCATCTGGTGGCTAACAAACTAACTCTTGGCTGGCTCATCCCTTGGTTTCATACATCCAGAGGCGAGCCCTCGGCAATTTTCAACTTTCAGCTTTTGTTTTCCAATTTTCACTGCTCAACAAATTCCATTTCCCAATGGCTCGCACAAAAATGACATAAATATGAAATAACGGTACATAAATGTTCTTCATCTCCCATTACATTCTCTCTGCAGACTCGTGCAAATGTATCTCTTAAGACTGTCGTCAGTTTGTGGTAGTCTTATTCCGGTCGCCTGACACGAACCAACCCCTAGCAGGGAAAAAGCTAATACAACCATGTACGTTTGAACGTCTGCAACACTAAAATTATTCATCACCAGAGGCAGCAAACCTAACATCTAATAAAGCACTGACCCATATACTATAGACGTGATATTATATGTCATACCCTATCACCTATACTATAATAATATAATATATATATACCTACTAAAATCAATAGTACTAATATATATATCCACTATATATATATA